TTTTTTGGTCTTTTTGAGACAGGGTTTCCCTGTAGCCCCAGCTGTCCTGGAACTCACTATGGAGACCAGGCTGGCCTCGAACTCACAGAGATCTGCCTTCCTCTGCCTCCCACAAATATTTTTATGGAGTTAAAACTTGGACTTTTCAAAAATTAATCAAAATAGACTTAAACACACTTAAAACTAACATACATATAACTCTGAAAAGTTGAGAAAAACACACATTCATAAAATGTATTTACTGCTGATATTTCTCTTTCCATTGCTTTCAGAAGACAGAACAGTAGGTTCAGCAATGCTGCGGATTAGAGAAGATTGAATCTCAACCATGATGCATGCTCAAGAGCACACACCAGGAATGAGACAGAGCAAGATCAAGAGATCTATGGAGGATGCTGAGTAGCTAAGTATGTCGACCTCTGAAGAGGAAAGATGGATTTGAGCTTACTCCCAAGCTTCCCTGAGTTTCCTGTAGATACTGACGCCATTGTCAAGATAATTGCATAATTTGAGGAATAAACAGTGACTGATGAATACGTTATGTTTGAGGTACTGAGATATGCAAAGTAAAAGATGTTGTGTGATCTACAAGATATAAGATTTCAGTGTTCAAGAGAAAGGCCTGGGCTTCAAACTGAAATGTGGAAATCATTATTATCAAGTGGTGACTGACATCATTATAGTGAATGGGAGAATGATAGTCTTTTCCAACTTCATCACAGTTCACTGTGTGCATGTGTCCACAAGGACAGTCTATTCAGACCCTAAAATAATAGATTAAATCAAGATTTCTAGGAAAGACTGCAAAATACAAATCTATGAGCCTAACGAGAATATAGCTCATATAATAAACAAGAAAGCAGAGAAAGAAGGGAAGAAATATAAAAGACCAAAAGGAGAGACATTTCCATAAAAAGGAAGCAGTCAGCTGCATATTTTAGAGAAGTGGATTGATTTAAACGATTGAAAATTACATAGTAGGTTTAGAGACACAGAGAAATTTGCTGGACGTTTAAAACAAGTAGCATGCAAAGGACAGAAGCCAGTAAACTAGATAGAGACACAGAGCAAAGACAGAAGAAACTGTCACTGTCACTAGGATTTTACCAGGAAGGGTAGACCACAGGAAAGGGGACCTCATCTCTATACTGAAAAGAAAATCTATATACTAATATTAATATTGGGAGCTGATAGGCAAATAATAGTGGCCAATATTAGAAATATTAAAACCTCTGAGAAATAAAATTTATGAGTATATAGGAGGGATTGGTATCACAGAGAGAGTGAATGGGCTGTCATGGAGAGGCTGAGGGGCAACCTTCCCATTTTAATGAGAAGGCACAAGGAAAGCTTAACTCTGCATATTGTCAAGTTTATTGGTTTTCTTGAGAATGAGCAGGCAACACAATCTGGTAAGAACAAGGAGGTGGGAGGAGGAAAAACATACCAGATAGCACTGCAGAAAGTGGTGAAGAGCTCTTGCATGGGGGAATCGACTTTTAGTGAAGCACTGAGTGACTAGCCAAGTGGGATATTATCCATTTATAGCAGAGCCCTTCATGGACTTCTGATGGTTACTAGTGAACAGGTCAATGAAAGACAAGAATATTCACAAAACTTTACCTCATCTTTACTATGTGAGGCATTATGAAGCACATTTTAAGATGAGATATGAATCTGTCCTTGGAATATTTACCTTATAGTAGAGATTACCCCACAGAAGAGTATATCAAAGTGTTCCCATATGGATGCTGTATATGAAAGCAGACCCAGGAGTGTTTCGGAGAACCTGAAGTATGTGGTGATTTAGGAAGGTAGGCTGCACATCGCAGGAAAAGAAAACGGTTACAAACAGAACACTAAAAACTGTCTTCAGACCCTGCCCTGTGTCTGTTTCTCTTATCCCAACTCCACAAAACTGGGGGAAGCACAAGAACTGCAGAGTCCCAGGCACCTGCACTCACCCTTCCCTCACGAGTCAGCTCCAGCCAACAGAGGGGACACGTGAGTAGGCAGTGGACAGAAGTTCTCCGTAATTGGTGTTATCTAGGATATGGTAGAGACCTCTACTCAGGGAAGTACTGTACTCTAGGCTCTTAGTATTTCCCAGGCAGAGAGGAAACTTTGATACCATTTTGAAAAGTTCCAGGACTTGTCTTCTGCCAATCAATCGGTTTCAGAATTTGGACCAGTAGTCAAAGGTCCCTCTACCTAAAAACCATGTTCTGGAGGAAGGTGTGCCTTCAAGCTTCTATGGTTGGAAGGTCCAGTATAAATGTCTTTGGGGGGCCCAAAAGTAAATATGGTTCCACAGTTGCCCCTAAAATGCATTTCTAGTCCCTTACAGGCCATATAATGGCATAATCTGGATCTGAACCATATGAAGATAGATGCGTGACAACAGTTAATGTTCTGTATTTATATATATTATATATTATTATAGATATATAATAACATTCTATATTTAAGTATTCAAACATGTTGGACCATAAAGCAAACAATAGAGGCAATGAACTTTATGGACACCCTGAGGAGAATTCATGTGTTTTATAAGCAAATGAGTGTGAATCAGGACACGGACAAGTAAATATACGACCTTGAATATCCTGAACCTCATTTTCTCATCCATGAAATGTGGATGACATTAAGAGTTGATGGCATCTGAGGGTATGAGAGTTAGTTTGCTTTAAGGGTATGTCCACTGGTTGGTAGACCGTGCTTCAGTGGATGGACACACACCTATGACTACATGGGCAATACAAATTGAACTCAGTAGGCAAGGAGGGCAGGGGGAAAGAACATAAAGCATAAGTTGGGAAGAACTGGGGAAGTGGGGGCAGACCTGGGAGGTGTTAGGAGAAGGGGTAGGGGAGAATATGATCAAAATATACTATAAAAATTCTAAAAGATTTAATGAAAACATTAAAAAAGAAAGAACACTAATGCATTAGTAGTTGTGAAGAGGAAATGAAGACACAAATTCTTGCCACATCCCTGGCATATAGCAGGAGGTGCCAGAAGTGACTATTATTGCCCTGCTTAAAAACGGAGGCATGAACCATGGATTCAGATCCCAAGGATACCATTGTGGAAAGACCTGAGTCTGCCACTGAGAAATGGAAGCAATAAACTTGACTCCATGGGGCCTCATAAAATCGAGTAAACTGAAGAGTGACCAGCTCTTAGGTGTGTCAGATAGGGCCAAGCTCTCATTCACCTCAGGTCACTTTTACTTATTTTGCATAGCTCTGCATCAGTGTTATGAAGATAGTCATTATTTTTCAGGCCCACCGTTATCACCCTCAGTATTGGGAAGGGGGATTTGATGATACTTAAGGAACCTTAACCTATAAGTCTTGAATAAGACCTGAATTGTTTTAAGAAATCTGGTGAATTAAGCACTCCTGGAATAACTGTAAAAATATTGCCTGTTTCTATTTTTTGAAGACATTTTATATACCTAAATAAGTAATTAAAAACTGGCTTTGAGTGGGAAAAATGTATTTCCTCTTTATTCCCATTTAGTTTGAATGAGTCCAGGCTTTGATTTCTTTGGCTTTTTACGTTTTGATATTTTCTTATGTTATTTTTCCCTCAGCTTTCTTCAAAATGGAATAACGACAAAAAACTTAATTCTGTTGCTGGTGTCACTAATGAATAATGTAGTGTGCTAGTTTAGAACTACAACAAAGCCTCTTTCAAAAAGTCAAAATATAATTTGAAAGCTCATCATTGGCAAAATTTGATTTTAATGCTTCCAAAGCCGAAGAATTCTGCAAAGGAATGCAATGATAATTTATTTTCTGTCACCCCCAGAGCTAACTGAGGGAAGAAAAAACAACAACAGTATTTTTCTTAAAGGCAAATCACAGATAAAATTTCAGGTCAAAGGGATAAAAAGGGAAAAAGGAAATCTTGGAGAAGCCCAGCTTCACAACCCCTCCCACCAGTGTCTGTGAAGGATGACTTCAGTCTCTCTAAACTGATCCTGTCACTGTAAAATCCTACAGTCATTCTTGCACATAAAGGACAAATAGGCTGAAGAGGAGGATCTAGATGCTTTCAGTTTTAACTATTCACCAATAGTGGAAAAGGCAGAATGCCTAAGCTATGGCTTCGTGGCCAATAGGCTGGCCCTGTGTCTCTCACATGACTGCCTGCCCCTGCCTTTCACATGGGCTGTAATTTAGTTCAATTCAGAACTGCAGATAGTACGGCTTCCACAGAGGCAGGGATGCCTGGGCACAAGTGACTGAGTTCCTTCCGAGTGACTTTAGGAAACGCTCTGCACCTTTCAGGCGTGCAAACAGGACTCTGCACCTGCATCAAAGACAGTCTGGGAAAAGCCTCTGTTCTGCCTCCGGGGACGAGGAACTAGAGCAAAACACACCATTTGGAAATTGTAAGTATATATTTCTTTCCGTCAAGTGTGTTGATGAAAACAGTTTTCTGTCAGAAGCATAAAATATTAGATTTCTCAGGGCATTCTCTTATGCACATATTGAAAGATAGTCAGTGGCAAGGGAAATATTCCAGGGCAATTGTTGCATGCTTTCTTATGTGAAAGATAAAGAATTGAAAAGAAAAGTCTGGCTTTCTGAGGGTAGCTGCAGGAGGCGACGCACCAGGACATTGCTCTAGGACGCTGCTTTGTTCGTAAGGAAACATGAAGACACACATATGTACTTAGTTCATTTCTTTTCGCTCTTTATGGCTAATCAGATTTGATCCGTCCCCAGGAAAAATAAAAGACAAACTTTGCTGACTCCACTGACAAGGGCACCACAGACTTTCCAGACATCTGACAGTTATTATAATTAGCCATGAAAGACTGCTAAGACACTTGGAGCAAATAGCTCTTAAATTCTGAACAGTGGCTTCAAGCCAGGGCTTTCTTTTTATTCATTTTCAAGCCATTTTAAATTTTATAATGGCAGAGACTGAACTGGGCTTCATGTTTTTGTCCACAAAATGTGAAATGAGATCTCAGTACATGTGAAGGCAACTGAACGTGGCCACAGTGGAGAGCGAAAAGACAGCTTTCTGTCTTAGGATCCGGTCTTCCATGTATAAAGATTTTTTTTTTTAATTCCTAATAGGGTGGGGTGAGGCTGTGGGGGTGGGGAGGAAGCATGCAGAAGCTTCTTTATAGAAGAATCCTCCAAGAATAAAATAATTTAGGGTTTCTTTCTACCGGAGAGGAAAAGATATGGCTAACATCTAAGTTGCATTTATGGTAAGATTTTTTTTTTTTTTTTTTTGATGGAGTTTCAAACAGAAGTGACATTCAGAGCAGTGTTTTTTAAAATTTCTACAATAATTGGAAACAAATGGTAGAGAGTGTCCCTGTACCCTGCTTTCTTTTTACATTCAGCTAGGGTAATCTAGCTTTATATCTTTACTCCTAGAATCATCCAAATCCTTAAAAAGTTATAAGCTAAGTCTCATAAGAAATTAAAAGGCAAACCAAATCATTGTGATTATGACTGATGAGGATTTGGAACAACAAAGCCTCTGACAGAAAGAGAGTTTATAAGAACCCATTGCCCTCCCCATTTTAAAAAGAGAATATTAACTCCATCAATTATTGAAAGGAATTATTCAAAGGCTCCAGACATAACTAATTATGGCTTAGAGAGCTGCCAGAACTGAGCTTGTGTTGTAATTATAAAAGTCCAAGACGTTAGCAATCATTTTTTTAAGGCTGACTTGTACACGAATTTTCATATAATCTTTTAAAAATACCCCAGTTTTTCTTTGTCTGCTCTCATGTTATCTACACCTCCCCCACCGCCGCCCACTGGGTGCTGAGACACCTGAAGGCTAGACATAATGATCAACAGAGCTCCAGCCTGTCTGGACTCCAGCCAGGTTTTTTTTTTTTTTTTTTTTTTTTTTTCCTGCTTCTACAATCAAGGAGCTTGCACGCAATGCATGCACAGCCTATTCCACTGCTATGTGCAGATCCGGGATGGAAGTCTTACACATACTGCGGAAAGATTAAAGACAACAATATCCCCTTTCTCCTACCCTAGACGGACTCAATTTTTAACCCTTTCATTACCTTTAAAATCAAGATGTCTCATGCACTCAAAGGCAGGTCTCCACGGACCCTGTAACTCCTGCACCGCATCACACAGATGCACACGCCTCATTTGGCGTGGAAACCTCATCTCCCCGGATCCTGGCAGAGTATTTTAGGATTAACAGTGTGCCAAATAAACAAAACAGAATTTGCTTGCGTGGGCAATGCATTTTTAACAAACTTAAGCTGCGGTGAGATCTGTAAAAAGTCAAAGGTCTGTGGAAGGTTCTTGCGAGCCTTGCAGAGGGCTGTGTATCATGCCTGATGGTGCTGTTCTTTAAGCTTCTGTCTTTTTCTCTGCTTGTCTTCGTGGCTTTCTCTTTTTCTCTCTCTCACACACTTAAGATATAGGCATCAGTCAGGCAAATATATCACTATATCACAGTGAAACCCAGGTTAGCTGGTGATGTCATCATAGATAAAATTTCGTCTTTGTGGGCAACATTTTCAATCACCTAGACGCCAGCGTCTGTTGGGTGTGTGCCCATAGGAAGTTCAAGTGTTTGTGGGGTTAACCGACACCCACAGGAAAGGACTCATATGTAGACATCTCTCTCCTGAAGACGAGTTTATGGGGGGGTATGGGTGTGCTTATCATGGTGTGTGTAGCCAGGCAGAGTTCTCTCATCCTAGGAGGCCTTATTAATATGCTGGATGAATATTTCAGAGGTGGCTGAATTTCAATATGAATAGGATATAGAAATGAGAAGCATTTGAAACTCATTTGTATCAAGATGGTACAATAGTAATGTTTAGCATGAATTAGTGTTTCACATTTGCTATTAATCTGAATAAATATTAGACCATTTTTACTATTAACATTCCTCAAGGAAAGAACAATTTATACAAATGATCTAGAAGTATTGATCATTCCTTGTGCTTTGGAGGGGTATGTCTCTTGATTGGATGAAACTTGAATTAAATTTTTGTTCAGTAACACAATGTATTTATTTTTCATTTTTATTTTATGGGTCTACCTCTAAAGAGTCACTCACCAAACATGTGTTCAAATGTTTATCAACACACACATGTGTGTTATTTATTTTTCTTAAATCATGTGAAAGGAAGATAAATACTTTTATCAAAATATATTATGGTATTTGAGATGTGAATGTGCAAAAAAATTGTAAATATGTACTGTCTCTTAGCTATCAAGTTTTGATATTTAACTTAAATTAACCTTCACTAATGTAGAATAATTGGACTATTTACCAGTTTTGACACTCCAGGTATTTGATGCACAATTTTGTAAGTTTTGGAATTTATTCTTAATACGCCTAATTTAGAAAGGATTTTCAGTGCATGTATATACGAACAGCACCACTAAAGAGCATAAGAACGAATTCAGTTTGCCAATGTGATTGTTTTAAAACAGGAGAAAAATATTTCATTCTTTGTTGATTTCAGTTAATCATTGTTCATAAAAGTATATAGCTTGAAGAATTGACACATTTTATATTTCAAAAAGCAACCTACATGAGTTAGGTGACATTTCTATGGAGTAACACTCCACTGTAAACTTACAAATAACTTTTTCTAAGGCCTGATTTTATGTTCTCATATAAACATACACTGGAGATCTGGCTTGATGATGAATTGCATAATTTCTTCATCAAAGCCAGAAAGTGAATACATAGTTTTATTTGGACTTCACCTACTTTCTATAAACAAGGCATGACATTGCCCACTGGGGACACAGGTTACTAAAAAGGCATCTTTCAGAGACAAGATAATGGACTTGATTGAAATAGTTCAACTACGTAACGCCAATTCAAGAACAAATGGTTTTTCAGAACACAGTGGAGAAAGAACAATTTGCTATAGTACAGTTTATTCTCCTTACACAATAGTAATGATTTATTTAAAATGGCAGGACAAACAGTGGATATACAAAACAACCAATGGTATCTCATGTCAGGGATGCACCAAGATTCTTATTTGTCATGCAATCTTCTTAATTCCAGGTTTTTGCTGAAGATTTAGCTAAAAGCTACACTCTTCAGCATCTGCTTACATTAGGACCTCCCATGAGTAATATTTAAAATATATATTCGAATAGAGTCTTTTGACCACAAATAATTTTTGTTATTCTGTTATAACCGTAGTGTTTTAAATGTTTTAGAGTATGAATGTGTTTGAACATAATGAAATTCAGATGGCAATATCATCCAGTTCTACTTCTCCTAAGTGAGACATGCCCAGATACAGAATAAATTAGTTTATTGGTGTAGTAATTATTGTGGATGCTTTACAGCAAAAATAGTTTAATCATCCCAAAAACTATCATCCTAATATGACAAAGTATAAAATACAAATACAAACCAGCCCTCTGTTTTTAGCACTCTGGTGATAACTTCCAAAAGTCAACCCAGCAGTCATGATCTCCCTCTGTCTGAAAAGGGAGCTTGGTTTTGAAAGCTTAGCCTTTAGGCAGAGGGCCTGAAATTATTGTGCACAGATGCCGGAGCACTGTGCAGAAAATGCACCGGAAACTCCAGCTGCTGGGAGAAAAGAAGGGAAACGGGTTTGTCTGCTTTATGCTCCACATTTTATTCCTCTAAAACTAGTACACACAATACTCAAAATTAGAGTGAAGGCTATCAAAGTTATTTTCATAGCTTACAAAAGAGCCACTGTTTTGCTAGATGTCCCATGAAGGAAAAGAGTTCGGAAAGTGGTTGATGGTCCCGTTGCCAGTCAGGCTTAGTGAGGCACTGGGGTCAGATGGGCTCATGAATCACAGATAGGAAATGAACTGTGTATTGCATATTCGGAGGCTCAAAGAGAAACATTTGGGATATTTTTACCGTAAACGGATTTTGGGTTGATTTTTGGCACATCTTTTAAAACACCAAGCCTCCGTTCAGCTGAAATAACTTTTATATGTATAGCTAAGACCAGATGGCCACGTGCTCCTTTCTTATTTAGATGAGACTTTTCCTTTCAATAACATCTTTCTTCCTGACCTGCTTAAAAATTCCAGCGAATGAAATCAGCACAGGATTTTCAATTCTAATTGACCATGTGCAGAGGAAGGGCCAGGACAGAAATCAGGGAGGGCATTGTGAGGCTCTCTGCCTCAGTTCTGTCTTTGTGTCTTTCTTGGTAGCCCATATCAGCTAATTGAAAATATTGAATTTTTATTAACATTAAAATAGCTTCAAGGTTATTCTTCAGTGAGAATTATTTGATTGAGTTGATTCTGTCATCCTAAGAAATCAAAAACTTGTCATGCACTTATAAAGTTCAGACTCGCTGTTAGGCCAATTATTGATTTAAAAAAATGAACTATTAGCATAATGGTGGAATTAAGATAA